TGTGTGTGTGTATATATGTGTATATATATATATATGTGTGTATGTATGTATGTAGTATGTATGTATGTAGTATGTATGTAGTATGTATGTATGTAGTATGTATGTAGTACATACGTACGTATACATGTGTGGTGCAATTTTAAAGTACAGTAACGTACAGTTACTGTACTTAATTTTAAAGTACAGTACGTACGTACATGTGTGGTGCAATTTTAAAGTACAGTAATTTTCCAAATTTGCTGAATTGTGATTCTGAAATGCATTCATGCATAAACAAAGCACTTTTAGCTTCTGACTATATTCAACAAATCTAAGCATAGATACATCAAAATGATCAGATTTCCCAATCCCTAACAGTTTACCCTGGACCCTGCATTTTTTACCCATTTTCATTCATTTTGGCCGTTTTTGTGGGTAAACAAATACACGTTGTAGTTGGCAGCCATTTACGAATTTTGTTAAAGTTTTAATTTTAAGGACACATTAAGAATCAGAATGAGCAACAATATAGTTGGTGATTTTGTTTCCTACTTCACAATCTTTATTTATTTATTCATTTATTTTACAGGTTTATGATAGAAAAGAAGCAACACTCACTTCTGTGGTCTCCCTGTTCATTTTTCCTCAGCACTCCACCATCAGCTCTCTTACAATGTAGTAAAACGTGCTGATGGGGCACCGTCTTCACCTTCAGTTTGAACCTGAGCTCTGCAGAGAATCTGCATTGTTCAGTATGTTCAATCATGCATCTCATGCATAGGCTAAGAAAGTGCAAAGCTTATAATTTTTTTTTATTTATTTTTTTTTTTTTTTTATTGACTTCAATTTAATATAGAATTGGGTGGTAACTGCAACTGGCCCAGTAACATGGAAGTGGTGCTCAAGGCTAGTTCTTACACAAGGCCCAGTTCTATTTTTTGTGGAGTCATTTAAAGGAGGAGAAGCTGGGAAAATGAACGGACGAGACCGTCAGCGAGTTTCTCACTTTTCTTGTTGGCGTTGTTTCTGTTTCTCGGCCGTCTGCGTTTCTTTTGTAGAACGTCTTTCTTCTCTCTCTGGTCAATTTTCTTATTGACCTTTTTAGTAGAATGCGCAGGAGAACAATCCATCTTATTTTGCTTTTTGTATTTTTGCTGTGGATTGTTTTTTTTGTTTTTTCTCCTGCGTTTTTCATGTTTTTCATCCCTGGCATTGTTTCTCTTTTTGTGTTGCACGTCATTATTTTGACGGCCCAGATTTTGATGTTTTGAAGGAACCTTGCATCTAGGATGGGAAGAGTTTTTAACGTTTTCCCTCCGATGTCTTTGTTGGCCTGGATCTTTAGCCTTTTTTTGAACGTCAAGGACTGAGTGGCAATGACAACATGTGTTTTGTTGTCGGGGCTGATAGGATCTTCGGGACCCTTTAGTTTCAGTTCTGGTTTTGCCATTTTGAAACTTGGGGTGCTTCCTTAGACCATCAGTCCGGCGTTTTTTCTTGCCAGACACATCCTTGGCCTTTTTTACTTTTTGTTGGTTCCCTGAGTTCGGCACATTTGCGTTTGCAATCTTGGGGGTTTTACGCCCGACCTGTGCAAACTTTGTAGACCAGCTGCGGCTACGAAGTTCCCAAACACCGGTGGGGTACCGGTGTGGAACCGAGCGCTGGTCTGTCGCAGGAAAGCGAATGAGTTTTTGTTTAACCACAGGTTGGTGGACAGGTTCCAACCTTAGGTTATTAAATTCATTTTCAAGTTCATGCAGGTTGCGATATCCCGCAAGAACCTGAAATCTTTTCTCCTTTCGCCTCGCCCACAATCCTGTGGAGTCTTTGTTATGATTTTGCTCTTTAAGAGCAGAGAAAATCATTTTACTGAAAGCGTTTTGTTGCTTTTCAGTTGCTGAATCCAAATCCCGGTCATTTTTTCCCAGTTTCTCAATGATTTCCCGGGTTTGGATGAAAGATTCACCTCGGAATCTTGTCAATGTCTCCAACCTGCCTTGTTCTCTTCTGGCCCAAAGGTCAGATGAATCAATCCAAGAACGTCTTGAGTCCATGGTTTGCAGGATTTTATTATTTTCAAAATCTATCAGTCGCCAGTAGATACTCTACTAAATACTTTTGTGATCCGTACGCCAATGTGTTCAGTGCTGAACTGGGAGAACTCTGACACTGAGGTGCCTTATATGCATGTTGTTGATGACATCACAAAGGTCCTGCGAGTGCCTTTGTGATGTCATCACCTTTGTGATGTCATCAGCTCATAATGCTTTCAAGATATTCTGGTGTGGATCTTGTTTATTGTTGCTAAGCAACAAGGGTTAGTTTGGCTTCATGCTAAAAACAATAGCCTAATTCATATTCTTTGATGTTGCCTAGCAACAACAGTGAATTAGGCTCTGCCCTCCAAATGGCGGGCTGAAAAAAATCTATTTAGAAATCCTCTTAATAATAAATACCATATAAAGTATGTTTGTTTAGAATATGATATACTTTTATTTGTTTAACCTCCTGAGACCCTGCGTCCACATATGGGGACATTACATTTTGGCTTTGCTGTACCTTATACTTCACTCTGTTCAATAGTGTTTTATACTTTGTTAAGCCATGTTAACAATGTTGTGTTATGCTGTAAAATAAGCCCATTTTACCCATATGAGGACTTTTTTTTTTTTTTTTACAAAAGTATGTCATAACCATGTAACAAAATACAACTTCCTGTTTGAAGAGGAAGTTTTATTTGTTTTTTTTGTTTTTTAATTTAACCTTTATTTATACAGGTAGTCTCATTGAGCCACGAGAACCCATTTTCAAGAGAGACCTGTTTAGGGAGCACATGGTGGGGGTTAAGGGCCTTGCTCATGGGCCCAGAGTGGGGCGAATGAGGGTGGGGGCAAGTGTGGGTGTTTCACCTACCCCACCCACAATTTTGATGTTGTCGGGGCGTGAACTGGCGATCTTCGGATCACAGGCCCACCTCTCTAACCTCTGCGCCACCACTCCCCATTTATACATGAATCAGGCCCATCTAATCACAAATATCCAGGAGATATGAAAAATGCATCTCAGACCAGAGCTCAGGTCTCGGGGAGGTTAAAACGATTTTGTTTACTCTTTGTAACTACTGTAATAGGTTTGTTATTTACAGTTTCATTTAAAAAATAAAGTTTTTCATTATGGTAATAATTGACTTTTTTTAATTATTCTTGTACTTTACTGTAATTAATGTGTAACTTTTCTTACTTGTCACTGCATCTTGTCACATATTTTAGTAAGGCTCTTCCTAAAGCTTCACTACGAGCTTTAGAAGAGTTTTTCACAGAGTAAACTATTCATGCTTAGTTTTTATCTGTTGGATGTGACTCTGTTGAAGTGTTTGCTAATATTTATACATTATATTATAGTATTCATACAGTATTTTACTAATGCACATTGGTATCCATTAAATAGGTTCATGTATACAAGTCTATGGTTCATGACAGTTAAGCGACGTGTTAGTTACCTATTTTAGACATAGACATTTATAAGTAGATGCCTCATTGAGAGCTGAATCATCACCATCTTATTAGATGTGGCAAAAGTGAAGCGATAGGAGCAGAAGCCTTATTCATTCAGAGTGGCAACACGGACTAAAAGCTGTGCAAGACTATTCTTTTCCAAATTTTATAACTTAAACACTTGCACAAATACAGACTAGATAGACGGATAGAAAAATATCATAAGATATCAATATTATCGTATATTAATGTGTGTGTGTATATATATAAATACACACACGCCTTTCTGGGTGGAGTTTGCATGTTCTCTCTGTGCATGCGTGGGTTTTCTCCGGGTACTCTGGTTTCCTCCCACAGACCAAAAACATGCATGTTAGGCTGATTGGTAACTCTGAATTGTCCCTAGGTGTGAGTGAGAGAGTGAATGGTTGTTTGTCTCTATGTGTCCCTGTGATGGACTTGTGACCCGTCCAGGGTGTACCCCGCCCCTCGCACAGTAATTGCTGGACATGGGCAATGGCGACCCCCATGACGCAAAATGGAAGAAGCGGGTAAAAGATAATGGATGGATGAATATTTCTATTTTTATCACCACATTAATAGTGTTACACAGGTTAGTAATTGCAAACATTCAAAATAATACATATGTTGGTTTAGTTCTTACCTATATCCTTAACGTTTAAGAAGTAAATAAAATAAGAAGTAAAATCCTGATAAAGTTACAAATATTGTCTTTGGTGCCTGTTTGTTTTCCAAATTTATTAGTGTGTGTGAATGACAGGCATCAACTTTAAATACTTTGTAGAACGATTCTTTTCGAAGTTCAGTCCATTTCATTCTGTAAGTTGACCAGCAGATCTGCCACATCCAATATGGCGGACGCTCTGATGTATCGCAGCAACGGTCCAGCCCGCTCAACGAGGTGTCTACATATTGTTGTCTATGGTAATTTGTACACCTGTGATGCTGTGGATTTGACTGAACATTGTCAACATCTACTTTGACCACTGTCTTATTTTAGAGAAGATGTTGCTGATTTCAACAAAAGAAACCAATTTGTATGCGTTTAAGCAACAGCATGGCTCTTTGGTACAGGAGTTTTGGGTGCTAAAAATGAAGCTGTTGGGAAGTTGCAAGAGTTGGGGAAACAGCATTTAAAAAAATACTGCAGTAAAAATCAATGAAGGAATTAAAATGTTTAAGAAAGAGGTAATTCAGCAAAGTCCTGACCTAAGTGCTTTGATGCACGTTGCTGACATCAGATTCACAACAAGTATACACTTAAAATAAAATCATAAAGCTGAAGTGTTCCCTCATGATTCTCTATTTTTAAGCTAAACCAAACGGACTAAACGTTTTTTGATAAGATTGGCGTTCTCGAGGATGCATCAGAAGTATTTCCCATAATAATAAACAGCAGTGAAACTAATCAAATTTCCTTTTTGTGTTCTTGTCATTTATGTTTAGGCTGAACTGTACAAGGATGACTTTTCAAGGGCGCGTAAGGACAGAGAGAAGCTGAAGGCGAAGCATCTGGAACTAGAAAAGAAGTACAAAAAAATTCACAGTGAGCTGAATGTCCTCAAATCTCAGGTACCAGTCAATATTTTTTGTGCTTATGATTATATTTGTCAGTCCGGCAGACACTGATGAGGTGCATCTCTTCTAGGTGAAAATGGCACGACCAGCGCACTGCTGTTCCTGCACAAATCTGGCCAAATATTCAAACTGGGAGGTGGACCAGCCACGCACCTAGCTACAACAACCAGTGAAAGTCAACATCTTTAAATGCACTTTAATGGAAGTCTGAGACAATCCTGGTTTATTGAGCAACATCAAGTCTGGAAAACATATCAGAACACTAGATATAATGCAAGAGGACTTATTTCAGAGGTACATCTGCAGCAAAAAGACGGAATAAAGTGTAGTCGTGTCAAAAAAAAAAAAGAGCTCACATCATGCTGGGACTATGTGCATTATTGAACTCTCAAGATAAAAAGAAGGCTCCCAACAACCTCGTGTGTGTTTCATGACTAAAAGAAATGTGTGTAAGAAAAGAAGGAATTGCATATACGAACATTTATTTTGCACAATATAACTATGTAGATTTACCGGAATCAATTATATATCTACGTTCCTGTATTTTTGTTTATTTATGATGAAAATAAAGCACTGAGTGATGTGATTTTACATGTTTGGTCAGTTTTCCAGGCAATGCAACTACAGCAAATGTGCAGGTTACATAAGATGGTCCATAAAACGGCTCATTCAGAAGATTGTACAAGTTGCTTAAAAAAACTATACCCATGTTTAAAAATGTAAAAATATTGTGCGTTCAGTGCATAATTTTTGTAAAGCAAAAATACAGAATCATCAAATAAACTATTATATTTTTTGTATTAAAAAAATAGGCTCAGATTTGTGTTTTAATAGCACCCGACAAGTTACGTTGTTAATTTAGGGAGACTGAACTTATTACATCTTCTCAACACTGAAAACACAGATCTCTAGTGACGTCTACTGGTGAGCAGCAGAAGATGACAATGAAATATTTGGATAAAATTTAATTCTGAATTTATTGTACAGAAAAAAAGTGTTGAGACTGATAAATATTGACTAAAGACTTTTGAGCCTTTGAAAGTAATGGAGATGAGGAAGTGATGGGTAGGTTTGGTGTCAAGGAAAGAAACCAGGAAGGACAGATGGTGGATTTTGCCAAGAGAATGAAAATGGCTGTAGTCAACACCTATTTCCAAAAGAGGGAGGAACATAGTGACCTATAAGTGGAGGAAGGTGTACGCAGGTCGACTATTCTGTGTAGAAGAGGAAACCTGAGGGAGATTGGAGACTCAGGTTGTGGCAGGGGAGAGCGTGGCCAGACATCATCTGTTGTTGTGAAGAAGAGAAAAAAAGCGTAAAATCAGAGAAGAAGACCAAATTGTGGAAGCTGAAGAATGTTGTGAGACATTCAGAGAGGAGCTGTTAAAGGCTCTGGATGGAAAGAAAGAGCTTCCAGATGACTGGGCTACTACATCAACAGTAAATAGAGTGACAGGTAGGAAGGTACTTCGTGTGTCATCTGGACAGAGAATGGATGATAAAGAAACTTGGTGGTGGAATAATGACGTGCAGGAAGCTATTCAAAGAAAGAGGTTAGCCAAGAAGAAATATGACTGAAGAGAGGAGACAGGAATATAAGGAGGTAGGATGTAGAACAAAGAAAGATAGAAAAGGCAAAGAAGAAGGTGCATGATGAGTTATATGGGAGGCTTGACACTAAATAAGGTGAGAAGGACTTGTACTGATTGGATAGGAAGATGGATCAGGCTGGAAAGGATGTGTAGAAGGTTAGGCTTGTGAAAGATAGGAATGGTAATGCTTGTTATGTAAAGGTCATGGATGTTATCACTAATGTTAAATTAATGTAGAACCATGTGAGTGAAGTCAAGAGAGTCTTTTTGTTTACTCAGAAAGGAGCGAGCATAACTGATAACTTCAAATCTGTGAGCTGTGAAGCAGAGGTTGTCTTGACCCCGCCTCTGTCTGATAAGCATTATAAGTAGTCGCTTCTTTATGCTGTCTGTGGGCAGACTTTGTGACCAGAGCTTCGTATAGCACCTTTATAAGCCTGTTTTCAATGCTGCCACCTTACAAGTAAAACTGGATTGAAAAGGTATTCTCATTCTCAGTGTGGGTCATTTGATTAATGAGATGATGATAGGATAATTAATTTACCCAACAATGTTCTAACAAGTGAGCATGATGGGAAGATGGAAGGAGTACTTTGAGGTGTTAATGAATGAAGAGAATGAAAGAGAAGGAAGAGTAGAAGTCATAGAAACTGTGGACCAGGAAGTGGGAAAGATTAGTGAGGGTGAAGTTTGGAAAAGTTCTGAAAAGAATGAAGAAGGGGAAGGCAGTAGGACCTGATGACATACCAGTGGATGTTTGGAAATGTCTTGGAGAGACAGCAGTGAAGTTTTTAACTCAAATATTCAATTCATTTTTTTTAGATTGAGAATGGAGAAGTGTGCTGGTGCCCTTTTTTTTATGAACAAGGGGGAATTAAGTTGATGAGCCTGAGAGAGTTGTGGAAGCTAGACTTAGATGAAAGGTGACTATTTGTCACCATAGATGCCATCTTTGCTTCAAGGATGCTGATGAAGAAGTACAGAGAGGGTCAGAAAGAACTCCATTGTGTCTTTGTGAATTTAGAAAAAGCATCTGACAGGGTGCTAAAGGAGATGTGGTATTGCATGAGGAAATCTGGAGTGGCAGAGAAGTATGTTAGACTGGTACGGGACATGTATGAGGACAGCAGGACAGTGGTGCTGTAGGAGTGACAAACAGCTTCAAGGTGGAGGTGGGAGTGCATCAAGGATCAGCTCTGAGCCCCTTCTTGTTTGCTCTGGTGATGGACCGACTAACAGATGAGGTCAGGCAGGAATACCTATGGACTATGTTAACAGATGACGTGATATGTGGTGAGAACAGAGAACAGGTGGAAGAGAACTTGGAGAAGTGGAGGTATGCACTTGAAAGAAGAGGAATGAAAGTCAGCGTGAGTAAGACAGAGTACAGTTGTGTGAATGAGAGGGAGGCCGGTGGTACAGTGAGGCTACATCCATCCATCCATTATCTTTACCCGTTTATTCCATTTTGGGTCACGGGGGTCGCCGGTGCCCATGTCCAGCAATCACTGTGCGAGGGGCAGGGTACACCCTGGACAGGTCGCAAGTCCATCACAGGGATACATAGAGACAAACAACCATTCACCCTCACACCTAGGGACAATTTAGAGTTACCAATCAGCCTAACATGCATGTTTTTGGACTGTGGGAGGAAACCGGAGCACCCGGAGAAAACCCACGCATGCACGGAAAGAACATGCAAACTCCACCCAGAAAGGCCCCTGGACCGGGGTTTGAACCAGGGACCTGCTTGCTGAGAGGCAGCAGCTCTACCAGTTGCGCCACCGTGCTGCCAGGCTACATACAGTAAGTTCTAAATATGAAACAAGTTTTGTGATGGTTGGCTCATCAGAACAGAGAAAATGGTCTTTCATTGGGAGAAAAAAAAAGGGACTTAAGCCAGCACTCGGGTCCTGATAAAGAAACCGCTGATTTGTTTTGTGTTGAGTTTAGGTTTTATGGTGGATTGAAGGGGTGGAGGGATTCAATTTTATTTGGAATGTAGTTTCTGGACAAAATTAACACACCCTTGTCCAAATCATTCATTCTTAGTTGTATGAGTAGCATAATAATATTTCATATAAATTTTCGAACATAGTGGTTTTTTTCATTGCTTGCAAAACTGTATGTGCTGGTTTCAATTAAATACACAGTTTTTAACACAAGTTGAACCAAGACCCAACGTTTTTGTGGTTTGCCTGAATCTATTCCCAGTGAAATGACTCATAAACATTTGGGTTTAAGAAGGTATTTATTGGCACAGTCATAGCAGCAATGTGTTTCTGTTTATTTCCAACAATGATTCCTCGTCCTGTGGTTTCTGATGGCAGTAAATCTCCTCACATGGAACAGTGAGCTTTAATAAAGACAGATGCAATGTGAAATATGACGCTCTGAGCAGCTGAAATGATGGTCAGAACAATTGAATAAAGTGCAAAGGCACAAAACACAAAGAACGTGAAACTTGGTAGACTTAATATTACCAGATGTGATTTATTGCTGCTTTCTTTCCACATCCCGAGTTAATTTGATGGTATTTTTATTCATAAATAAAATATTCATGATGATGAATTTTTTAGGGCCTTAAAGTGATAGTTCAGATGTTTTGATTTGGAGTTCTGTGGAAAGGTTATGAACAATTAATATCTTAGTTGTTGTAGAAAGATCATTGAACAGCCTGTCAGGAGGAACGAGAGTGTGACTTGAATAATGAGCGAACAGCTAGTTAATGTAGAGCCAAAACCAAAGTGTTTAGCTGCCATCTTAACCCTTCGAAGGTCCTTTAACTTCATTACAATAAGTGTTCCTTAGAGGAGAAATTAACCAGTTTACATATATAAATAAAATAAAAAAATCACACAATAAAGTCAATCTTTAAGAGCTATCTTAATCTGAAATAAAAATATCAATTTTAAAGATTTTTTTTTAAAGCTTAGCTCTTTAAGAGCTTATAGTTTTTAAAAAAAATCTACAATTTAATTTATTGTTCATTGGCAAAATATTTATTTTACAGCAATTTTTGAAGAAAAAAAATTGAATACTCAGTTTTTCCCATTATGAAAATGAAAATGAAGCCTCATTTTTGGTCAAATTTGCATGTAGATATGGAGGGTTAAAAAAAATGTTTTACTGTATTTATTTTATTCAAAATATATACTTGTGCTCAATGCCAGTGTGTTCTTAGAATTTTTTTTTCATCGATAATCCTGGAGCAGCCGATTCTTCGGCATGCTGCTTTTTGTACTAAAACAAATGGATAGACTGGGAATTTTTTTTCAGTGGAAAATGTATAAATACTTCATTCTTACTTGTACAATTGATAGCTTCTTGAACAACTACAGTTTGTAGAAATAGACTTTAAATACATCAAGACAAATAAGCTAGACCAAATGCAGATAATACTAAAGAAAATTGTCTTATCTTTAAAAAAAATGTCTTTATGAGCAGTTCTTTCAAACACCATGTTATAAATCTTCATCACCACTGGTTTTACAGTAGTTATTTACATTATGTAGCAGGAGCAGCGACGAGCTGCGGCATTTCCAGGGGGCGTGTATGGCAAGAATAATATGTTTCTGTTAAAATAACTTTATGTTAAACTGATTGCCAAATATGTTACGTAAAATACCACTGTGACATTTTGAAAGTTTACAGGTGTTTTAAGATGGCAGCAACCTTCCTTGGTCTTGGTTTCATAATGTAGATTGTTTTTGTTTGTTTTTTCATTACTTTTCATTGTGTATGCTTTTTAGGACAGTTTATTGTTTTGTGTACCTCATCTGTGTTTTTGTTTATATATTTATTTTTACTTAAAACACGTCGGTCTTGTAAATGAGTCCTCGTGACTCAGTGAGACTAACCTGTATATAAATAAAGGTTGAATGAATGAATGAAAATGTTTACTCGTGCACAATGCAAGTGGGCTTTTGCTCTTCACATCTGAACTAAGATAATTGTTTTTGGACAAAATGAGAGATGGAATTTCACAGCAACGTCTAGCGGGACTTACCTCTTCTTAGAGCTGTCGTTTCTAACGCGGGGCCATAATAATGTGCAGGCTGGGCGGACTGGGTCGATGTCTGGCTTTTGATTGCGTCAGCGGGTCAGCTGCGATCCAATCATATGGAAACATGGCTTACCATAAAAAAATCCAATTATATGGCAACATGGCTTGCCATACATTCACCAGCCACACACAGCCATTTCACCACGAGCTGACCGGCCTTGAAAGAGGTCAAATAAAGTTCAGTTAAGCTTCAGATGGGGCTACTGGTACTGTCAAGAAGCGATCCATCACCCAAATGGACGTTCATTCAGCCGCTGCAGTCAGCGGACGCGCACGGCTGACGACCCAAACAGGTCAGATCCCAAAGCAGGCATGTCAGAGCATGGTCCGTGTCTGAATAATGCAGAATGCAAGCAGAAGCAGGATTTTAATGCTCTTTGATGGCCATGAAAGGACAAACACCCCCTCCAGCTCTGATCTTCTGCCCCTTTTATTCAGCCACGCACGTCTGCTGACTGTTAACAACTATATAAGCAGTCAAAGCTAAATTTAAAATGTTGTGTTTTTTTTCAGGTTCGGACATGTAATTACTGTTAATTCGTCAGGTCGGGTGGGGTTTAGAAATGATGGCTAAAGGCTGGGACTGGGTCGAATCTGATTTCTTGGGCACAAATGCAACTGTATGGTAAGTTCAAGCTCCTTGGTGGGCATTTTTACAGCATCCTTGAAATGTAAAATCAGAGCATGGCCCAGTGGGCTGCTATAAAAACTGAAAGTAGAAAAAAAAAAGAGGTTAAAAACAGTAAGTGAATGAAATAAATTACTTTATAATATGATAAACATGGGACCAGAAAATGCATTTACAGTAAAGTATAACAGTTTTCATTAGGGTCAGATTTTCCCCTAAAGACCACTAGAGGGTCGTAAAGTTACAAGAGCATCTGAAACTGGTCCAGATGAAATGATTTAACCTTTTTTGTTGTTATCTACCTGGATGATTGAGCCTACAAACTTTTTTTTTTATATATCTGAAACAGTTCTGACAAAGTGGAAAAAAAAATCTACAGATTTTTAGGCTTTGTCAGGAAAAATCGTGTTTATAGACAACACCAAAAACATTGTAAAATAAAATTAAAAAGTAAAAAAAAATCAACGTGTAGCTGATTTTTCCTCATGAGACCTTCTGATATTTAAAACAACTCAAATAATAATAATAATAAAAATACCACATAGCTGTTTGTTTGTCAGTTAAGTCAGAATTACATTTTTCCTCTAAACAGAAGATTTTTTTAAAGCTATGTAAAACAGGTAAGATAATAACTGCTCTTAACTTTCCACAAAACCCCATTTGAAAAACGTGATAATGTTGCTTTAAAGTGATGATATATTTTAAAGTACAACGTATATGAAGAGGCTTTAAAGGCTAACACAACTGTACCCAGTGCTCACTGTTGTTAACTGTAGTGGGGAAACTGTAAATACTGCACTTCTCTGCCTTTTTTGTACAAATAAACACGTTAAATACATTCTGAAGTATTTTCAAAGAACAGCGTTTGCAGCCATCGAGCGAATAACAAAGCGACAAAGTCTGGCCAGTATTGCACACCAGTTTTAAACCATTACACACCCACTGTTGATTTCTGCTAACAGCATAGCAGGAACAGTACGATATTTGCTTGTCAGAGGATCGGACCGTCAAATCCTCATGTCAGTAGAAGCCCGGGTTTGTGTGCTCAATGACGCAGCGCCGGCAGTGGCGTCTGACAAACCGTAAAGCTTCCGGAGACACCTCGCAGTCCTGCACGTTGAGGAGCTGCAGCTCGCAGCAGTTTGCCGCGAGAGCTTTGAGTCCTCTGCCCGTGATGCTCTCGCAGGCTCGGAGGCTGACTCGCCTCAGGCCTTGGCAGTACATGGCCAACTGCTCCAGCCCACTGTCCGACACCAACGGGCACTTCCCCACATCCAGAGACTTTAGTTTGGGGCAGCTCCGGGATAAGTGGCCCAGGCCGTGATCCGTTATCCCCTCGCAGCCCCTGGCGTTTAAGTAGCGAAGTCGTGGGCAGTAGCGAGCCACGTAGCGTATGCCCACGTCTGTGATGCGGCTGCAGTGGGCCACGCTCAGGTAGCGCAGGCAGCCTTCCAGGCGGGCGACTTCACGCAGGCCGAAATCTCCGACCAGGCGGCAGTCACTGAGACTCAGCTCCCTTATGGACGGGCAGTGGAGCGCCAAGTGGCGCAGAGCTTCATCTGTCAGCCGGGTGCAGCGGCGCAAATACAGGTGAGTGAGGCGAGGGCAGTGGGAGGCGATAGTCCGCAAACCCTCGTCCTCGAGTGAAAAGCAATCAGTCATGTCCAGGTAGTGAATGGAGATCTGCTGGCCGTGCAGGGGAGACAGCTGGAGCGAGGCCTCCTCGGTGAGGCTGATGCATGTTACTTTAGAGCAGCCTGCAGACAAATCAACAAGTTAACATTCTGTTACAACATTTACAAAAAAATACTTTATCCCGCTCTAAAGATTATATAAAGAATCTGGGATGTCATATGAGGTTAGAATGGTTATAAAATAAATCATTTTGTAGTAAAAACCTGGGTGTAAAAAGCTCTCTATGACCTGTGGACAAAAGTCAAAATAAAATGATTGTGCTTATTCCATTTAAAATAAATGTACATGCTGAGTGTATTCAAAAAAGTTCAAGACAAAAACAACTGGACTTTAATTTGTAGCTGATGTTTCGCTTCTCATTCGAGGAGCTTTCTCACTTCAAAGAACAGAGAGCGTCAGGTTCGAGTTATAAAACTCAGGTAAGCTAGATACATATGCAGATTGCCCTATCGATCCTCACAGTAGGGTTTTAGTGTATTTATTAGACTGACACACAGAGGAGCCACTCTAGTCACATGGATGTAATTCCTGATAGGAGTGAAGCTGCACCTGCTTCCAATATTAGTTGTTATCATCCCCATAGTTTTCCTTCAGACTGTCCCTCCTGGACCTCCTAGTAGGTTTATAGGTACGTTCTTATCGCTGATAATATGTCAAGGGTCAGGAGGTTAAGTTAAGGGTCAGTGCTCTGGGTCAGGTGTAAGGTTAGGTTTAGGAAAAGGATTAAATAAAGCTAACAAAAAAAAGGTTCTGGTTTTAGATGCAGGTGAAGCTGCATAGTATCAGCAATAAGAACATACTGTTAAACCTACTAGGAGGTAGGAGGGACAGTCTGAACACAAATGGGGATTTTTGTCTTCTTCTTTTGTCTTCTCCCTTCTTCAGCGGTCACCACAGCGAACTAAGTCGCACGAAGGTTTGGCAATTATTTTTTACGACGGATGCCCTTCCTGACACAACCAGAGACCACAGAGTTACCACAGCCCTTGAACGCAACCTATGGGGATGATAACAACTAATAATGGACGTTTATTGGGCTGATATTTGAAGCCGCTGGAATGAAAACGACTGTGTATCAGGCCTAAAGCTGCAGTATAAGTTTTTGAAAGTTGAACTCTGAGACGTCCTCCTCTGTTTAAAGATGGTTTCTCTCATTTTACATAAACGGCTTCCTTCACCCCCTCTCAAACCATCTTCTTCTTCTGCTGAGTATGTATTATACAGCTGTCAGTGTGTTCAAGACACAAGTACTGTATCAGATGATCTGCTTGTATCAATAACCAGACAAAGAGTTTCTCCTGCACGGGAGCAGCAGAGCCTCAGTCCAGCTGTAAAGCACAACAGCGGAAGTATTATGATTTGTGGTTTGTATGTTGGCCCTGTGACTGGACAAGTTGCTTCCCCTGAATTAAACCATTAATAACCACAATACATGGATGGTTTTGTGGCTAAATTTCAAAGAGTTGAATTTTTGTGCCAGCAGATAATGGTTTAAAAGTTCTAGTCTGGTTGAAACAGAGATGTTTTGGCAGTGTCACACAAACAGACACCAAGTCGTCTCAATCATCTTTATCTGCAGCCTGTCATGGCAGCAGAGGTAACTGTGTCGTGGGTCTATGAAGGTCTAAAAGCCTCACAAACCACTTTTCTCATTTTACCCAATAATAGAACAAATATATGTTTTTAGATTATTTTGTGTAATAAAATATTTAAATTACACACGTGCTGCAGTTTAGTTATTCATGTCTAAATTTTCAGTCTGTACACATTTTTACTGGCTATTAACAATGTTTCCAGTGTAAAAAAAAATAAAACAAAATAAACTTTGAACCTCACTCTTTCCAAGATTGTTTCCAAAGAATAGCTGCAGGGGCTTCACTGACAGCTAAAGAGGAAATTTAAAAAGGCTTAAACCTTTGAAGTTTATTTGATCCACCACATCATAAATTAAAGTGAAGTTTGGAAGTTATTTTTGCTGCAGAATGGGGACTGTGGGTTTTTGTCCCAGATTGCTTACATTAAAAAAACATTAGGGATGGAATCCCCCAATGACCTTTAAAAACAGAGGAAATCATCACAGAAACCAAAATTATATGAATGTGCTCCTGGTTAGATTTAAATTGAGATTCTGCCACTAGAGGGCGCCAGAGTAAAGGCCTTCAGGTTGGTAAGAAGCCAGTATTTAAAAAATGTTTTCATTAATTGAAGACATAAATCAGTTTTTGTTGAATATATTGTTTAAAATTACCCACAACTTTTTAAAAATTTATTTCAAATTAAAAACTTGTTTCCTACAGCTAAATGTGCAAACGCCGCTCTGCCATCACAGTCCAAAGTCACACTATTTGTGCCATTTCTTTAATAAAAGCAGACAACTGCTTTTTTTTTTTTTTTTTTACTTATGTTGAGGTAACCTCTGTTTTCAGCTTAAAAAAAATTAAATCTTCTCCCTAATGGGAACTGAAGTTGGCAGAAAGGTTCCTACTCCGCTAATGATATTACCAGCTTCACATGAAAGAACTGAACTGTCCTGTGTGGAAGAATTCAGAGTTTATTCCACATGTGTGTGTAGCAGAAGGTAGTAAAGCTCCTTGAGGAAGACAAGTGTTTTTCTTCTGACCTGAGAGGTTCAGATGTTCCAGGCCGGGGCAGCGGGACACCACCTCAAACACGGCGTCGTTTGAAACGTTGTAACAGCCAGCAACCTCCAGGTGCCGCAGCTCAGGGCAGCACTGGGCCAGAATGTGCAGGCCCCGGTCCGTCAGCCTCTTGCAGCCGTTGACGATCACCGTCTCCAGCGTCAGACACACGTTGGGGGTGTCTTGACACAGCCGATGGGTCAGGACTCTGATGGCGCGGTCGGCGTGAAGCAGTTCTCCGGTGAGTTGGATGGTGCTCCACAACCTCGGGTCCCACGCCAGGTTGTACCAGCGCCGGCAGACGCATGCGCAACGGCACAGCTGGTTGGTTGGGAGATGGGAGAAGATCTGCAGGAGCGTGTGGTCCGGGAGGAGGTCGGTGAGGGAGTGGTGGTGGGTTTTTGACTGTCTGGAGCGAGTGTGGCCGCCAGGCTGAGGGTGAATCACAGCCACCGTCTCGGTGTGAGCAGAGGAGGAGGATGAGGAGTTGGTTTCATGGCCGTTACTGGAAAGGGCAGGTGAGGAGAGGGAGGAGGACTTAGATGGCAGGATCAGACCTGGGCTGGGGGTGCTTAGTGTTCTTGTACTGGTCTCCAAGCCTAAATAAAAAAGCACAAGGCAGGATTAATTTTTTTCTGAAGTCTTCATATAAAAAGGAACATTCTCTTTGTGTTTTGTTGTAAATAAATGATCATGTATGTTAGTATCTTGATGGACTGTTGGTGAGTGGTTGGCATTTGCAAGGAAGCCACCAGATGTTCTCAAGACATTCATGATGGTTTTTCCAACCATTCAACCATAGTAAGACAGAGTACGTGTGTGTGAATGAGAGGGAGGCCGGTGGAACAGTGAGGCTACAAGGAGCAGAGGTCACAAAGGTGCAGGACTTCCAGTACTTGGAGTCCACTGTCCAGGAGCATGGGGAAAGTGGTAAAGAGGTAAAGAAGAGAGTCCAGGCAGGATGGAGTGGATGGAGAAAAGTTTCAGGAGTGATTTGTGACAAAAGGGTGTCTGCAAAGGTCAAATGAAAAGTTTACAAGACAGTTGTGAGACCAGCTATGTTGTATGGTCTAGAGACAGAGACATGGACAAAAAGACAGGAGACAGAACTGGAAGTAGCAGAAATGAAGACCTTGAGGTTCTCCTTAGGAGTGACAAGACTGGACAAGATTAGGCATGAGATCATCAGAGGTACAGCACAGGTTGAACAACTGGGAGATAAAGTTAGAGAGACCAGACTGAGATGGTTTGGACATGTCCAGAGGAGGGACAGTGGGTATATTGGTAGAAGGATGTTAGAAATGCAGCTGCCAGGAAAAAGACAAAGAGGAGATGTATGGATGCAGTTAGAGAGGACATGGAGGTGGAGTGAGGACAGAGGATGCAGAGGACAGAGTGAGATGGAGGAGGATGACTCGCTGTGGAGACCTCTGAAGAGGGAAAAGCCGAAAGAAGAAGAAGAAGAAGATTCATAACGGTTCTTAATTTCTTTGCAGACGCTGCAGAGGCTTGCCAACTTGTTGCTTGAATTTTGAGCATATGTGTATCGGAGCTGTTGCTGGCATCTCAAACACTTCTCAATTTACTTTCCACCTTCATTTCTTCAGTGTACTCTGATTAAATCATAAATGTTGGGATGGCTGCTAAGATGTGTACAAGGTGACGACAACATTTCACACAAGGCCTAGAATATAGTTTGCAAGCTGTGAACACAAAAATAGGCTGCAACCAAAACGAGACATGGCTTGCTGGTTCTTTAGTCACAAACGCACAAAAGTAGGTAAGAGAGCAACTGAAAGTTTGCCCATTTTCTCACAATTTAGAGCCTCCAACTAGTCTTGAAACGTTATTTCTTTTCATCATTCAAATACGGTATTGATCAACAAATGACAATGTATTTCTGAATGGTAGCTTGTGATGACTAAATCAGGACTGAAGAGCACAACACAAACTAAAGGTCCTGCTTGTCGGACCTGAATAATGGAGAGGAAAACTTTGCATTTTACTTTGGTTTAGGACAGATCCAAAATCTAAACACAGGCTGAAATATTTTAACTTTTGTTCTCCAACACCATCAAAACAAAAGATGGGTGATATAGCCTGAAAATGACGTCACATCTCAAGGTAATTTGTAATAAAAGCCTTATAAATGTAATTTTAAAAAAAATTATATTAAAGACTTATTGTAATACTGTAAGCATTTAATTTTATTAGGCTTCCTTGTGGTTTGAAATAAGGAGTTGTAAGATTTATGTTGGAAAAACAAGGGATAAAACTGGTTCCCTGTCACAGAACCTCGCCAGCTGTTATTGTACGTGAGGAAATGTTTCCATGGATGTCATTATCATGTTTTGGGAAGTTTGGGAAAAAGTGTGTCACGTTTATCTGCCAGGCGTTGGGACAGCACTCGCAGGGCCTCTCCATCAGATTAGCTGTGAGGCTTCAAAGCAGCAGAACCGCTCGGTGCTGCAGCTGATAATGTGCGGTCAGCCCCGTGTAAATGCCCAAGCCTTCCCGACAGATGTGCATGGGTCGTCTGATGAGCCAGCTGTGAGGAGCTGGTGCTGGATCCCATCACAGTGCTGCAGAGCCCTTCATGAGCCGAGTGGGAACCGAGTGATCTTCTATTAGTTTCAGGAGGAATTTAGACAAACTGACAGTCGTTATTTCAACAAGTAATAAATGTGATTTCATTTACAGATGTTTAAAATTCTGCTTTCTGACAAAGAAACAACGTGATTCATCTTATCCTCGTATGAGATAATCGAGGTTTTGTGACAATGAGGGCATGCGAGTATACATTTTTCAAGAAATATGTTTTCAGAAAAGATTTGTGGAGTGTTAAATGCCTATTATAACAAGTGGTGTTACTTCCTTTGCTGAGGGATTTGAAGAGTGAATGTGTATAGTTTTTAAGATGAGTGGTTTTTTTTTGGTCTGGGAATGCAAATAAACTTTAATATTTTTGAGTATTCAAGTGGGTAGAAGTTGCACTATATATAAGCAGAGAGGTAGTTTATTTATTAATGTTTTGTTTGTCCGAGGTGTTGCAAAGTAACGGGTCATGGTTAGAGGAGGGAGTGATTTTATCCACCACCAGGTGCAGTGATGGAGCCAGGGGGTGGCCAATGGTGGCCTTGGCCACCATAGATTAAGCTCCACATCTGTTGTTTTAGGAAACTATACTTAAAATCAATATAAAAAACTAGAAAACATAATTTCCTGAAATGATGTGGTGGCTGGTTTACGTATTTATATAAAGATGTGGAACATCTTGGATTTTGACGTAACAACCAATTTTCAATAATGACTTTTCTAAGGCCTAGATGCAGTTGCACCCAAAAATGGAAGTCAGCCCGTTGCCCACATTTTAATTTATCCAGCTCACAGAGTTTACATATGCACATATTTGATGGCAGCCATTTTGAATTTCGACATGGCAACCCAATTATCAATAGTGACCTTTCTAATAACTAGATGCAGCCACACACTAAAATGTGTCATACCCGGCTCACAAGATGGACAGAGGGTATTTCCAAATACTCTATTTGCTCCACAGTAGGGGGACAAAAACAAAATGAATTATAATATAAAGTAATAATATTAATAACAAAGAAAGTTATTAATAATTCAAGAAGAGACCAACTCAGGACCACAGAATCCATTATATTGTCCAGCACTGACCACGATATGTAGAGATTCCAGCATTTTCTGTTTCACGCCACCTTTTTGCAGCTCCTGAGTGGCAGGGAGGAGTTTCTTCTCCTCAGCTGTGGCTCATCTTTCTAATGAGCTACGTGTTGTATATAAAGACCAAGGCTGCCAGAGAATGACGCCAAGACAGAGTTCCAAATGAAAATTAATTCAGATATTTTGAAACAATAATGTTTTCCTTGATGTCCTCGCAGATGATAATCTGTTTCCTGTGTTCTTTGTTTGAGATGTACCTGCATCCTCCAGCCAGTTTGCCTTGGACCTTCATCCTAAAACCAATTCTCTTCATACAGACATACAACTGGAAAAATCTCTCACCTCTTCATCCTGGTGTGACCTGACACTCTCCTACACCAACCTGTGAAACTCACTTACCATACTAACTTTCCTGCAAACAGGTATCCTACCCTCCTCTTCAGGTCTGAAATCCCTACAATCTATACGCCTTCTCAGTTTTTATGAAGACTTCCAGAAGATTCTGTCAAGAGAAAATTCCATCTTTATTCTGCATCCACAGACAGCTGTTTCCTCCAGAGTTCAGCCCCCATTCAAATAATCTAAGTAGTTTAAAATGTGCTCTTGTTTTCTTGGGATTCTGTTAACATCACTCTGAGAAAATGAACTCATATGTGTGGCTACAGCAGTGCTTAATTTGAGCCGGATCCTGCAAGATCCGGGAACTCTCTCATTTTGACCACTCGGATCTGGCAACTCAAATCTCCGCCCATAAAAGTCCAAAGTCATTGCACATTTTTATTTTGATTATTTATTAAAAATATAATGAGAAGAGATGTTCTGTGGAGCGGATGTTCCAGCTGCGCTATGCGCACCAGCTCGCACACATGCTCCTGCCCAGCAGAGATGCGAACCGTATGTCCTGCAGGGATGAGCGTCTTCATCCACCTTCAGCCGTGCGCCCTGAGACAGTGCACATTTTACGCACAGAAGCGCACAACAGGTGATGTGTCTGAATTCATGCATATATTTCAAAGATAATAAATAAAAAAGCTATATAAAAAATTTAAAAAACACTAGACAAATGTTTGATGTGTATTATTCACATTACATCACGTTTCAAAACAACAGCACTAATTTGTCAAACTAACAGCGATCAAAATGTTGAAAAGACTATTTACGTTCATAAAATAAATGGATGGCTTGTCCTTTTTTTTTTTTTCATTTACCTTTTATTTATCTAGGTAGTCTCATTGAGCCACGAGAACTCATTTTCAAGAGAGACCTGTTTAGGGAGCAGATGGTGGGGGTTAAGGGCCTTGCTCGTGGGGCCAGGGTGGAGCAAATGAGGGTGGAGGGAGGTGTGGGTGTTTCACCTTTTCCACCCACATTTTGATGTTGATGGTACCGGGAGTTGAACCTGCAACTTTCCGATCACAAGCCCATCTTCTAACCTCTGCACCATCACTCCCCCATGGATGGCTTGTCCTTAGCTGGACAACTGAGAATTGAAGCAACTGAAGGTAGTGGTCATCGAGATTAGAGCAGAACAACGCGCAGGACTGAATTCAGTTAAGAAGAGATCAGGTCGGACAGTGTGTGTGTGTGTGTGTGTGTGTGTGTGCGTGTGCGTGTGGGGGGGGGAGTAGGACGCTTGACAGAATCAGAGTTGCTCTATTCACTGCTCTCTAAAATAGTAATTTCATTTCAGCCTTTATTTCTACAGGTTGTTAGTCTCATTAGCTATATTTACATGTGCAAAATGCTTTGACCGGATTGAAATGTTTTCAGATTAAATAATTCAAATGTGTCGTTTACATGGGCACAATCCGTTCAGAAGCGGGGTTTTATTATGAACATAAGTACTGACATGTGAAGAGTGGTAAACTCGCCTTAAAAAAACACAGAAGAAGAAGTTCTACTTCTGATT